GAAGCACGAACGTTCAGACAACAGTTTGTACCTGACTGACTTCTGGATCATATAAGAGAGGATACAGGTTGAAATTCTCATGACACCTCATTAGAAGACCACAGTCCATTGTGGTACAGGGCCTGCTGTCCTGAACCTGTCACCAGTGGGGTCTAAGTAAGAGGAGCATATATAGGAAGCCCTGCAATAGTGATCAGGTTTGTTTTCAAAGTGGAAGTAACACATTTTTGGGATCAAGCAAATTATTCTTTAATACATTTTATTTAGAAAATTCTTAATTGGATTTAAAACATAGCATTACACTTTGGTATATGCTAAGAATTGTCTTGAGAACCTGTTACATACTAAGTACATGTTGTACTGCCAAATGACAATCCACCCACCCTCTCCAGGGAAAATTAGCATTACACAGCACAATTCTCATCACATTTATAACTAGTGAACTTTATACTAAGGAGAAGGGTGGACTCCTGTTCACTTTTGTAGGTATGTGTTCTTGTGTTATTTCTTTTTAACATGTACTCTACAATGCTCCACCCCCTTTTTTATATCAACAACTCCATATTTGTGGTCTATGAATCTATACTGCCTTAACTATATACTTCTGCCTTTTTGACTTCAATTTGAAAAGAAAATTCATATACTACTTAGTCCTAAGGTTGATTTTGTTTGAGGAATCTGGGAAATTCTTTTTCCAGCTCGTTAAGCATGCTATTACTAGCTTTCCTGACAAGAAGCATTTGTGAAGACCCAGACTCCAGAAGATGTGGAAGGCCAAGCATACAAATGCAACATACAGTTATGCAGACCTTTACCTTCTCATGAATGAAGAAGTGATTGCTACCATCTACTCACAAGCTCATTTTATCTATCATTCTAATGGTGCCTGCAGAAAACAAAACAAAAAAACTAGCCTGCCCAACACTTACCTGATGAGAATAAAAAAGTCCTGTTAACTCCTGGTAAAATTTGGTTAGCTCATGAAATAATATTTCCCAAAAGACAAGGTGTTTTCAAGGAATCTGTTCAGAGACTACAGAAATAAGAAACACACATGTCTACATTAGTGAATCAGTAACTATACAATTATTAAGAATCATAGTGGCTGTATCTGAGAACACTGCGCGTTAATGGCTTGTTACTGAAGGAGAATTAGAGTTATTCTTGCCCATGTCCAATTTTGTGTATTTTGTTAGTGTACACTACAAAATTCCTTGACATGAGCTCTTCCTTTGATAGGCTCATCCCAACTTTATAATGTATATCATGCCACTGTAGATATTGAATTAGAATGACTAGCTCAGTACAAAGTCTCATAAAAGCTTCAGCTTATTCACACAAGCTAAAGGGACAAAGAGAATCATATTGTGCCTACTAAATTAAGCCAGTACCTAGTTTAGAATAGATATTACACTTTAAGTGTGTACATAGAGTTTTTTTATTTATAAAACTGATTTGAATAAAAATGTCACTCAGTGGCCTAAATCAAATATGGTGGACAGAGGCTATGCATGGTATTAAACTAGTCCATACACTCTTTCTTACCCTAACAAACCCAGCAATTAAAAAAAAAAAAAGCCCCAATCTCCAAAACTATATTGGTCCTTCTCACTCCCCATTTTCATTCATGTTTTTATTTTTTCTAATTTATTTCTAATTATCTTGTAAATTTTTCATATTATCTAAAGAATAACAGTTTCTAATACTTTTATAGTTCATGGGGAAAAAGTATTCTTTCTTTATAATCCAATTTGTCAATCTTCATTAAATATTCTTACTCTAACTTCCCATAATCTTTTAATTCCCTCGATTTAAAAGTTGCCATCATCATATTCCTGGAACCCAGAATGAGACCAGGCATAAGTACACTAGCAGTTTGAAGATGCTGACACTGGCTACAGTGCTGGACCATCCTTTTATTTTATATGTTAACTTAAGTTTTAAAGTCTTTAAGTGGTTTTTTTCTTAAATATAGTTAATGTTTTAACAGTGTGAAAAACACATGACAAATGCAACTAAAGGATTTGTTTGTCAAGGAAGTAAAGGCAACTGGAATGTGAAGTCACTGATCACCTGTATCTGCTTTTATGGAGCAAACAGGGTCGAGCACTGATGCACGGTTAATCTTTTTATTCAGTCTAGAACCCGCACCTATGCAATGGCACCACTCATATTTTACATGAGTTTTTCCACCTCACTTAACTCATTCTATAGTCTTCCTCACACGCATGACCAGAAGTTTGTCCCTTAGGTGATTATAGGCAATATTAGCAATCACACAATGTGAATTTAACATCAAATCACTGTTAGTCTACACATCTAAAAAAATGAAAAATATATGTTCATTTTTACTACAGGTATAATCTTAATTGTTTACCTGTGGTGACTAAATCCATAGCTTTTTCAATCCAACTGTAGCCCTATTGTGTTAAATGGCTGGATATTGACCTCCTTCAATTTATTTTTTTCAGTAGCTATCTCACTTAGATCTTGAAGCATCTCCAAATGATGTATTTTGCATAACATTTATTACTGAATCCAGAAAAAACTGTCTGACCTTTAATTTGCCTAACAGGCCTTGAGATGCTGTGTAAATGATAGAATAAAGACTCCCATCCAAGTGTGTGAAGGCAATCAGGTTATTTCACTCTGACAAATGTCCTGTGAACCTAACACAATGCCACTGAAACTCATATATTGCTAGAAAATTTCTCACAGGCTCACTTTCCTGCTACTTTGAAATACATGTCCCCACTTTGGAGCACAGCTGTGTCACCCTCTTGGCATGCTATGATCCTTATAGCTTAGACACAGTAGTGAAGATTAGCTCTAGCTTGTTCTTCCAAGCTATGACTACTATTATTTGCTCTTTGAAAAACAACAACAAAAAAACCCTCACATTAGGTTGAAGTAGTAACACTAGATGGTTTATGCTGATTGGTGCCACCCTGTGCTACATCTCCTCTCTCACTGACACTCTGAGTTGATACACAACCTCATCACCATTCTTTCCTTATTCGGGTCATAATGCATATGACATTTAATGTAAACCCATGCCCAGGATTTTTGTCTAATGTTTCATATTATTTATATGCATTTTATATTAAAAACTGCATATACCTGTACATCCCCAAAAGATATTTGAAATGTGATGCATTATAAAATGGCTAAGTCAGCAAATGCATTTCCTCACATCCTTACTACATTTTGGTAAATATCTAACACATAACAGAACCAACTCTTAAATTATCAGTTGTGTAATAAATCATTACTAACTGAAATTATCATGCTGCATATTACTTCTCCTGAAGGCCTTTAATCCAACTTTGTATCTTTGCTACACATTCCCTATCACTGCCAAATTTCTGGTGCTACTGTGGTTTCATCATAATTTATACTTCCATGAATACATGATTTTAGCCTCTACATACATGACATTTTTTTCTGCATATGGCTCTTCTGACATAAGCCACCCTTACCTATATTTTTCGCAAGTAACAGGATTTCTTCCACTTTGAATGTGAATGATGCCCTATTTTTTATATACACCACGTAGTCTTCATCTACCGGTGGATGCTGAGGTTCAATTTGTATCTTTTATGTAGATGAATAAAGTTTAAATAAAGATGAGATTGCTCAAATTTCTTCCATGTAATGATTTTATTTCTTCAGATATTTACCTACTGATGGGATTATGCGGCTCTGTTAAGAATTCTTTTGGGACTTCTGTGGTTTATAAAAATGGATCTACTAATTTTCCCTTACCACCTACAGTAATAAGAGCTTCCTTTTCCTCCACATCCTAACACTTAACTTTGTCTTTTTGATAATAGTCATGATTATTTTTTCACACAGTTTTGATTCCATGATAAAAGTTAACATTACCATTTAGAAGATTTAATCCTAATTGGGTTGTAAAGTAGCATTCAGAATGTTTTCTGAAGTCTTGGATCTGTGTATCTCAGGATGAGCTGAATCAGTTCAATTAAGGGGGTATTCTTTTTCATGGGAAGGCCTAGAGAATGAGAGTTGTGTAAGAAGAAATTTTGTCTTTGTGCTGAGGACTCTAATATACCTGCATGAAATAGTTTTTCTAATGCAGAAGTGATTTTGAAAACCTAATGCCTAAATCTCAGTTCTGGGATGCTCTTCAGTGCCCACTGCTCCTGGAGCCCCTTTCACTCCAGAGCTCGAGTGGCTGTTTGCTCCCAGGCTTTTCTTACCTTCCTTCTTTTGGTTTCCTCATATTAGAGCACCTCAGACTCCTTGCCTCATTCCTTCCCTGTACACATTGCACCATTCATCTCTCAAGTTTATTTGGCCTTAATTCTATGTTACACATGAATTTATATGGTCATGGATCCTGAAGTAATCTCCTGGCTTCAAACTATCTATGAGTTCCAGACTTATTTATTCAGCTGTACAATTGAAAAATCTACTGGATCAAGAATATAATCATTCTAGGAAACATGACTGAAAAACCTGTTTCTTCAAATATGTTTTCTCCTGCTAATATTTTTCTATGTCAGTAAGTGACACAGCATCCACTTCAGTATTATGAAAAATAAGCCAACAATTACACAATCCTTCACTTTCCCAGTGATACCAGCAAGTGCACCAGCAACAACTGTCTCCTGAACACAGGTATGCCCTTAAATGGTTCTCCATTTAACCCAGCAATTCTCTGCTCTTGGATGACACACTCCATTGAGCTTCTGTTGCTTCTGCTTCATTTGTTGCTGCCGGGTAACCCACTATGCAATGAACATGACCTTTCTAAAAGTATGAACCAGATCCTATACTTTTTATTGAATGCTTGTTTCTTAGATAACAACCCACATTTTCCACTACGGTTCAAGGTTCAATTTTCTCTCACAACTTTCTAGCTAAACTGAGCTAATGATTAAGATCTCAAATAAATAAAGAAATTTACAATGAAAAGGTTTGGGATTAGCTCTTGTCTTGCTAGAAAATTTTTGCATGAAAAACACTTATCATTGATAACACTGTTTTAATAAGTAAATGTTTCACTATACAAACTGGGCAAATAGGAAGGAGCGACAAATTCCAAGATGTTGATTTGAGCTTAAAGACAGAGTATCCTGATAGGCAGGAGAGATGGCTTGGACATGGGAGGACAGGATGGAAGGAGCAGAAGCAACTATTACATCCCAAACTGGGCTAGAATGTAGGCCCTGGGTGCAAAAGTCCACTGGAATCTTCAGAGGTGATGACAGAACTCAGACAAAAATGAGAATCCCCTCCCACCAAGGAGACTCCACAGTCTCCAATCTTGGGCCCAGGGGGTAGGTAGGGGTCCCAGGAGTCCTGGGTCTTCTCGGAGCTTTCCATGTGAGGCTCTGACACAGCATGCAGGGCTGTGTGGATACAGGGCTGGAGATCAGTTTCCTTGTTATAGACATTGAAGCTCATGTAGTCAATGTTTCGCTTCAGAGGCCCAGGCTTGGGAACAAAGGAAACAGCCACTCCGTTTTTTATCCAGGGTTTAAAGGCTGAATAACTCTTAGATTCTGGATTCGGTCTTCTGTTTTTCACCTCTGAGACTTCAAACCACAGAGGTCCATCAAATCGTCTAGTTCCCTTCTTGCACTGGCTGAGAGCTCTCAGCACTGTCTCCTTGGCACAGGGGTCTGGAAGCTCCTCAGGATGCTCTGCAATGCGTGCTGCCTGTTCCTGAGAGGTCAGGGGACTGCCTCTGCCCTCAGGAGGAGCAATCTTGACAGTCACCGGGCTGCAGGTCCACCCAGGATTCCGTACACTCCAAAGCCAACGTTTCATATAGGTATCCCAAGCACTGGAGAGATCCTGGCCCAGCGTGGCATCTGTGGGAGGTCTGATGGTGGAGCGCCTCCAGGTTCCCACCACCCTTTGGGGCGTGTGAAGGTGGGCAGGAACCTTAGGTCCAGAGCTTTGCTGAATCCACTCACGGCAAGGCCTAGACCTTGGATGCCTGGGGGCAGACAGTGATCTCTGTGGTGAGCCCAGGGAGCTGCCCATGTTCACAGCTTCCCGCACCAAGGACCTGCCACGGGAAGGACCGTTGGCTGTTAGCACGAGCCCAAGAGGATTCTGAGAACCACACACATGCTGCTGCTTCAAGACACAAGGGACACAGTTACAGGGGCCTTTCCTCAATGTGATATGCATATGTTATTCATTCATACCTGCAGCTGATCCTTATAAACTGCACAATTCTTACATGTTTATAAATACATGTGGCCCGTGATCCAGAAACTCATTCCTAAATATTTTTACTCCATAGTATTGAACCTCTTTGGAATTCTGCTGTGAACTTCAATAGAAATAGTATTCTGTGTGGAGCATCCTTGTGTAGCTGGTTCATTTTTGTTTAGCATTCATGATTTTAACAACCATGCCTATTGTGGCAAGCACCTCATTTCTCTTTACACCCTAAATCTTTCCACTGTAAGGATAATTTCATTTGCTCATCACTTACAACAAGTGTATCGTGTCTGTTTGGGACAATTCTGTTTCAGGCACTCAATATACAGTGGTTTGTGTGGACAAACTAGCTTTAGTGAGTCATGGTAATTCCTCCTTTGTCTCTTTAAGAAACCATCAAATTTTTTCTGTTATGAGCCGTATGACACCTGACCAACAACTTCACTCTGATTTCATTCTTCCCATTTAGAGGGAGAAGGTTTAATAATTTTTGAAGTTCACAGAAATTTCATATGGGCTATTCCCAGAAGTGTATTTTCTTTCAATGTAGGAAAAAATGATCATTATTCATTTAAATGTTCTTAAGAAACAATAACTAGTTTCTATTTCAGTAAGTATGGTGTATTTTTATTCTTCTAGAATACTTGTTAATGTTCACTATCTTCTATGGAAATTGGGATGGTAGACCATAGTTTATATTTTAGTACTGACGTTCATTTCATGTAGACTCCTGTAATTTTACCTTCCAAGGTTTCATATGTAGCTGTCCTTATTTTTGAACACTGCTGCACTGTCCCTCTCTGTCTCCTTCCCTTTTCTCCATTTTCTGCTTTCCTTCCCTTTCTCTATGTCTTACTCTCTGTTTTGTACTGGTAGTGTATATTTTACAGTTTGGAGACTGAGTTTGCACCCCACACCTATTCATTCTAGCAAGAGATCCTTGATACACTAGGAGTGTGCCCTCAGAGGAATTGAGGAATTTCTCATGGGACCCTAGAGTAGCTCTCTCAAGAGTTCTGATAGAAAGAAGCATGTTGGCCATTTTTTGATGTCCGTGGCTTCCTGTGCAACTTTCACCTACCCTTTTTGCTCATGACCCTTCCATCACTGTGTTACTATTCACATGAGACCTTCAACAGATAACATCTGATGCAGGACCTCGGATGCCTGTGAACCTCCATAACTATAATCAAAATAAACCTTTTGATTTTATATGGTAGCCTACCCAAATCATCTCATCATAACAGTAAAGGATAGTCACTGTGTGCATTAAGTAAGAAGAAAGATTCTCTATTCCTAAACAATAAAAGTATTTGATGGATACTAAGTGACTATAATAGTCACGTCTGAAGAACTGTTATAGGCTGTGTGGAATGTACTATTCTTAACCACCTTTCATAGGTGAATGTGAATAGAACACCCCTGAATGGGTCAGAATGCTAAGGGACAGGAAGCAGAGGCATGCATAAGAAACAAATCCATAAACAACACTGGTTCTTCCAGGTTTGAAGAGAGGCATTGGTAGGCAATAAATAGAACTTGATAAGAAGATCTAAGTTGTCAGAAGCTCAGAGAGTAGCCCAGAGTACTGCCAAAAGATTTTTTTCCCTCACTGACTAGTTAATTTTCATTTCTCTGAGGTAATGACCTCAGAGAAATTACTTAAGCTAATGACCTTAAGTATGACCTACAGAATACAACTTTGAAAACAAAAAACAATTCTAGATTATAACATTCTTGTCAATCATGCAATTTTTAATAATTATATCAAGAATTTAGAGACTTAGAAATCCTCTCAGGAAGTATTATCAACGTAGTGGATACGTAATGCCTTTGGGTACAGATTTCTTTATAGATAAATTTTATTTTCCTCAATGATACAAATTTCTATTTCCTAAAGCCAATTATGATAAATAAAATAAATATTATGTTGTTGTACCTGCCCCAGTTAGAATTAACTGTCAAATTGAAACTTTGAGAAGTGGGTATTAAGAAATTGACTTTATCTGGATAGTCTCTGTGTAAGTCAGTGAATGGTTTTCTTCATTGTTAATAGGCATAGAAGAGGTCAATTCCAAAGTGTGAAGCACAATTTTATTAGTTATCAAACATTGGATAAGAAGGTTAGCTAAATATGAGCTAGCAAGTGAGAGAGCAAGCTGTGTTCCTTTATGCTGTTTGGCTTCAGGTTCCTGCTTGAGATCCTGGCCTGACTTCTCTCGGTGAAGAAAAATTGCCTGGAATATACAATAAATCTACCCCCACTCCTCAAGTTTCCAAGTTGTCTTTAATTAGAATTGTTTAGTCAAAGAACAGAAAGCAAACTAGAACATTGTCTAAATCCTAAAGTTTACACTTTAAATAGAGCACAAATAGAATTCGAGCACACAACTTGCAAAAGACAAAGCCAGATTAAAATTCCTGGGTGGGTAGGGGAGAAAGTCCTACCTAGTTGTGTAGTTATTGGCAATGAATGTCTGTTAGAAGAGGGGGAGTCAGTATTCTTCAAGGCATTTTTTGAGTTGCCACTCACTTCACTAAAAGACTCTGTACTTAGGCACATATAGGCAGCACTAAATGAACTCAGTATTTTAAATAAAACATATCATGAAACTTGAGTGGGAAAGCATTAGTGGGAAATAGTGTAACTGAAGTAAAGAGAAGAGAATTGTTTGTTCAGAACATGGTGTATGCAACTATGAATTTCTCAAACCAAAAATAAGTAAATAAATAAAAAAAATGAAAAAAACACAGCGTGAATATATCACTTGCCAAATTATTCCTCTCAGAAACATTACTTTACATTATTTGGCATTTCTTGTCTAGATTACTTGTTCCCTAAGCAATGCTACCAATGTGTTTATTATTCTGTACTGTCTTCTATCTGAGCTGATAACTCTTTGTGTTCTCTCATTTTTTCATGGTGAATTTTTTTTCAAGAACTTGAGGACAAATTTTGCTTATACTTTTCATTGCTTCTCTTAAATTTTACCTTGAGAGTATTCTTAAGTAAATGTTTAAAAACATATTAATGTATAATTGAAGTACCACACAACTCACGCATTTGCACTTCAAGATTCATTAGCTTTCAGTGTATTCCCAGACATGAGCGCCTGTAACAACAGTAAGTTTTAATGATTGTACCACCTTACAAAGGAAGATGTACCTGGAATCTTTTATCTTTCATCTAACCTTCTCTTAGTCATCAACAGCCATTAATCTATGCTTTATTTGCACAGATTACACTTCTTAGGACATCACTTTCTATAGACTTGTACAACATGTGGCCCTTTCTGATTGCTTTCATTCAATATTGTTCTAATTGAATCATGTATACCAATAATGTTCCTGTCATGTACTAATTATATTGTGTGTGTAGGTGTGATTTATATGGCATATAACACATGCAAACACACACACACTTATGTTCGATATATATGCATATATATATGTATGTATACATATATATACATATATATATATATATATTATTCATGGATCCTTTAATCAGAAGATGGATATTTAATTTGTCTGTGCATTTGTATTATGAATAACAGAGCTTTAAATATTCATCGCTAAACATGTGTTACTCAAATATTCAATATTTTCATTTTTTAAAAAAACCAAAATGTCTGGATCATTTGGTAATGCTACACTGAAAGACCAGAGTAACTGCCAAAATATTTGCCAAACTGGCAGGAATATTTCAGTCTCTTCAGCAGAGTGTGAAGGTTCTGGTAACTACTCATGGTCCTCATACAGTTAATCGCCTGGCTTTTGTTTCCAGTAGCTATTT